GAAGACAATCCACCCTGTCAACCAGTACTGGGTAATTAGAGCTCCAGCACGCATTTACTGGGAACTACTTAAGTATTTACTGCCTATGCAGTGCTTCATACAATTCACCTTCGAGTTGGGAATGAATTTGCGAAGTCATTATAGACATTACGAGAACTGACTGGTCAGACAAAATAGTTAGTTACCTCCATATATCTATAAAATTTCGTGATTGTTCTAAATCGATCGTAAAATATTGTGATTATTTTATAGAAGTCCGTAAACTATAGAAAGAGAGCTGTCTGTACCTGTGAGTTATGTACACTTAAGGATACAGACGGCCAACTTACTCTGCTGGTCAATGGAGCCAGTCATGGGCAAATCGGATACAGCTTCTTCCCAATCGCCCAGCTATTCTCCTATTCCTCACCTTATCTGCATGTTTCTTGTGTCGCAATACGGCGGTCAATAGCGGTACGTCTTCCATGTCTACCATTCTCGATCTGTCCACGTAAGTGTCAAGACTGCCATGCGGTCGCTCCGCCTACTGCTGGCATTCGGACTAGTGACTACAGTGGTCCGAGCTTCCTCGTCCACCGATGCAACGTGCGACTCGGATTATGAACAACTTAACGAGTCTGGAGACTGCGAGTGTCGCGATGGCTTCAGTGGCCTCGGGTGCCGCATGTGCACCGTTAGCACCGAACAAGATGACTCAGATGTATGCAGTAGTGCTCTAGGAGCCGACTATACGTGCGTTTCGGGGCTCACATACGACGCCAGTTCGTTAGGCAAAACGTATTCCTGCAAGCTGTCCAGCGACCTTCAAGTGCTTTTCCCGGACGGGGCTATTGATGTGAGTTGTGAACGAGACGATGAGGGCGAAGGTAACTGCATTGCGGCCGTCTACAAGGCCAAGGAGACGGTGAACAGTGAACATGTTATCGACTGCAACATGACGCAATGCTCTTTCACTACCGGTAGCGCCAACGGCGAGTGTGGCGAGATTAACTGTAAATGTGGCTCGGAGTGTTCGGCGATGTCCAAGTCCCTAGTGGAGGGATCGTTGAGTGGGAAACCTGCCAAAATTCAAGTTACCGAGTCGTCAAAAGAACTTACTATCGTTATTGAGGGGTCACCGCTTCCTCTGTCTGCTACGTGCAATGCCTCCGCCTGTGAACGCAGTGAAGGCGACGACGCTACCCAAAGCAGCGGTACGTTAAGTACAGCAAGTACTGCGGACTCTACTGCCACGGAGGGGGCGGAACTGGCTGTCGTAGCTTGTGTGGCGCTCGCTGCGCTGTTACTACTTGGCTGTTTCTCGTTCTGCTGTTGCATCGGGGGCGCTCGCAGTAGCCAGAAAGAAGAGGATCTTGAGACGGAGCTACTGAAGGTATCTTCACGCTCAGTCAAGAAGCTGGAGTTCCGTAACATCAGCTGCTTTGCCAGTGTCGACAAGAAGTCTACCGAGCAAAAGACCATCTTGAACCAGATCTCTGAAAGCGTCTCACGTGGCCAAGTGCTCGGTCTATTGGGGCCTAGTGGATCCGGCAAGACAACGCTGTTGAACGCTCTTGCAGCTATGCAAAACGGTACCTCCAAGTTCACTGGAGAGCTCTTACTGGACGGTAACAAGGTGACCAAGGAATACCGACGTATCGCTGCGTACGTGCAACAAGATGACACGCTTTTCTCGACGCTTACAGTCCGCGAGTGTATCGCGTACTCGGCTCAACTGCGCCTTCCAATATCAATGACCGACTCGGCCAAGTCTGCGATGGTTCACCGGGTTATTACGGAACTTAACCTCAGTCACGTTGCCAACTCTCGTATTGGCTCGGTGGGTGGGAGCACCTCTGAACGAGGCATTTCTGGCGGTGAGAGACGTCGCGTGAGTATCGGTATGGAACTGGTAACGTCG